TAATAAACTTAATAATATTTGGAGGGAATTTAAAGAAGGTCAAGGCTCTATAGATAAATGACCATTCGAGACGGTCAAAAGCCTTTTCGAGATCTATTTTTAAGATCATATTATGATGTCTACCACGATACCTATTCATTTTTAAAATCATCTCTTGAATGATTATAGCATTATCACAAGCTTTCTTATTTTTGAGGAAGCTAGCTTGATAGGGACTAATTAGACTGTTTAGAAAAAGTTTTAGACAGTTGCTAATGATCTTAGTGATAATTTTATAAATAGTATTACAAAGGCCGATGGGTATAAATTTTTTTAAATTATTTGCATTGGGGATCTTTGGAATTAGACAAAGGAAAGTATCATTAATTTCTTCAGGAATAATTCCACTTCTAAATGTTTCTTTGCAAAGAGAGATAACTGAGTTGCCTATTATCTTCCAGAATTTTTGGAAAAAAAATGGGGGGAGCCCATTCGGACCAGGTGCTTTGAACGGTTTAAGGAAAAACAAGCTTTCATAATTTTTGAATTTGTGATGGGGTTGTCTAAAGAGGTTAAGTCTATACTAGAAAAAGATTGTGGGTCATTCTTAATGCTTTCCCAATTACTAGAAACATGAGAAGTAGTATAGACTTTTTTGAAATAGTCACTAGTATGTTTGATGATCTCTTCAGGATAACTAATCCACCTGTCTTGATCATTTTTAAAGAAAACAATTTTATTTTTCCTTTTTCTATTGGTTGCCATAATCTGGTAAAGCTTAGTGTTCGCATCTCCCTAATTTAACGAAAGAATTCTACAACGGAATTTCCAATAGTCTTCTTCCAATTTTAGGATGTTGTTATAATCCTGTTTTAGAGAATTTTCTAGAGCTTGAAGGAAAGTACTAGTATAATAGGAAATAGAGTTCTGGATACCGATAAGCCTAGCTAGGATTCTTCTTTTATTTTTAAAGATGTCACCAAATGTGTTATTCTTCCATGTGGTGACATTGTCTTTGAAAGTGGCAGTGGCTTCTATGAAGGAATTATTTTCCCAGGAATTAGTTACCACATTATGAAATTGAGGATGCTTACACCAAAATGGTTCAAGTCGAAATGTCTTAGGATAGGGGTGACACTGTTTTGGAATAAGGTTGATAAGCAACGGATTGTGGTCTGAATGGGATTTAGGGAGATAGATTATAGAGACATTAGGAAACTTTTGAATCCATTGGTCATTACTAAAAAACTTATCTAAACGTTCCATAATAAGTTTATTATTAGCAAATCTACGATTTGAACAAGTATATTTGCTGCCCTTATACCCAAGATCTAATAAGTTACAATAGTTTATATTAGACCAAAGCTTTAGGGTACATCTACGGTTTAAAGCTCTTCCCCCTAGTTTTTTATTAGCACTAAATACATCATTAAAATCACCACCAACTAACTAAGGCCCATTGTGATTATCTGCAGTGTTTTTAATATTATTCCACAATTGATCTCTACTAACAGAGTTTGTACTAGCGTAAATTGACGAAAATAACCAAGTAAAATTTGTAGGTCGTACCTCAATTGTTGCATGGATTTCATGATTGCGACGAACAAAGTTATGCACGTTCACTTTGGTATGATCCCAATGAACAACCATACCACCAGCTTGGCCCTCAGCGGGCACTTCAATCAACTCCGAGAAACCAAAGTCATTCATAAGAGAAGCATGGGCTTGCATTCTAGTTTCCAGGAGAGTGACCATGCATGGCCTATGGGTAACCATAAGCTCCCTAAAGTTTCTTCTAAAATCCTCATTATTCCCACCTCTAATGTTCCGTATAATGAAATTTATGGGACTAGACATATTAACAGTTGGGGTTGGTTTGTGTCCATTCTCCATGGAAAGATGTGAGGTTCTCCTTAGAGATGGGACTAAGATCATTGCTCTGTTCCCAACTGTTGGATCCTGAGGTGGGCGTATGTCTATTGCACATTTGTATAGATTCTGTGGATATATAAGGATGTGCCTCTTCTCTTGAGTTTCTTTGAACAAGAAAACTTCTACTTCGTTTAGGCTTCCCAATTCCACCACTGATTCTCCAATCAAGTCTATTTGATCGTTCATTTCTTCTTCCACTGGATTTCCCATGTTTGGAATTATTGGAGGACTTGGGTTGATATCTTCCATGTTCATTTGCATGTTTGGATCCTGAGGTTGCTATGGTAGTTATGGAGCCTCCCACTGCATTAGGATTGGGTTTAGGGCTGTTAGGGCTTCTGGTGGGTAGAATGGGAGATCCAAACCTAGGTTTTCAGATAGTATAGGGACTGGATTGAAGTGAGGGGTAGGTTTCATTAACCTCTCATTTCTCGCACTAGATTTGGGTTCAAAGATGGAGCTAGAGGTTGAAGGATGTTGTTTACCCACACATGATTCATATAGTTGCTCATGGCAAGATGAAGACCTTCGGATACTAGTTGAGCTAGGTAACGTGGAGTTTGAATTAGTATTACACTCTCTTGACCATTGATTGTTGCATTGAACATGAGACCCCTCTCCATAAGCCCTTGCTCTATCCAGGATAGAGGGTGGTGATCCTGTGACATTGGTGGTTGGACATAGATAATTGGGTTGTTTGGTAGTTATTGTGGCAGTGGTGGAAGGTTTGCCATATTCATGGGGCGTTGGTGGCGGAGGATTTGGATTAATCGATACCTCCTCCGATTGGTTAGGGTGATTCTTGGCATTTCTGTGGAGGGTGGTATCACTTAAGTTGGTAGAAGTTGGAGAGTAGGGAATGATTACGTCTACATACATGCAATTTGGAAGGTTTAGCGTGTAGGATTTATTAGAAGATTTTGTATGTGATATTTTGGCCACATGTCCCATGCATGCTTCCATTTGTTCATTATCCAGCATTTCAGTGGACAAGTGAAAGTCGTTTTTTGTATTTTTTTTGTCTTTTGTGTAGGGATTATGGGAACTAAAAGTATTATCTTGATTAGGGTGATATTTTGAATTAATATTATCAGAACATGAAGAGTTTATTGTTAGGGCTTCTGATAAGTTTTTTGTAATAATTAGATTAGGCGTGTGAATAGTAGGGCCATTAGGATTAATAGAAGTGTTAACTAGTTTTGTCGTATCTAGGTCTTCTAGATAATCTTGCATGTTGATATTATTTTAGTTTTTTAATAAAGAGTTTTTTGAAGAGAGTTATTTTCTAAAACAGTGTGCTCCTCACTCAATATAGAGAAGCGATTTTTTTGATCAAAACTAGTTAACTTACCCTCCATTATTGTATTGGTGGTTTTTTCCAATCGAGAATTATTCTGCATAAAAGACATGGAGGAACTATCCTTATGGACAAATTTTAACTTTTGAGTATTGATATACTTACCTGTAGTAGCATTAAATATTTTGACATCTATACCTGCCTCCACATTGGTCTCTTTGTCTTCCTTTGAGATTTTTTTCTGCACTCTACTTGGTTTTTGAAAGGATACCGTGTGTCAGCCTTCCTCATTCCTTGTCTTTTCCTGATGTTCTACTACTACCTCCTCATCATTGTTCTTTGTTTGGATTGTTGGTATTCTAGCTGTAGGGCAGTGGTGTATGGTGTGCCCTAATAGTCCACATAGCTTGCATAGAATTTTATCCCCTTCGTATTCAATTACTTGCTTGTGCTCTTCAATTTGTATGGATTTTACTACTACTTTGTCCATAGGTAAATCCATACAACATCGAGCATAACGGCCCCTTAAGGTAGAGGAAGTGCAAGCATCTATTTTAAGGAGTCGAGCAATTGAGTTTCAAATTTTTTGAAGAATAATCCCATCATAAAATTCAGTAGGTAAATTTGGTAGACGAATCCAAACAGCCATACGAATTTGTTTGGCATCAGAGGCTACAAAATTTGGCTCCTACCTTTGACATGAAAGAAAATGACCAAAGATAAACCACGGACTATTTTGAAGAACTGAGATCATGCTTTCTTGATTTTGAAATTCAGCAATGAAGTAATCTGATCCTAAGTCAATTAGGGGGAAGTTTTCAGACACCTTCCACAAATCTTGGACTTTTTTCCTAAGGATTTGGTGGAGAATTCTTTTTCCTTGTACCTTTATTATGATGGAGTATGTATACAGTCAAAACCAAGGAGCTCGAGTTTGAAGTTTTGAATTAGGCTATGAGTTCGAGTCCGGGCAACTCAAAGTAGGGGACCCGGCTGAAGGATACATACCTCGAGGAAGCAGATCGAAGGCCTGGCACGCCCTACATCGAGGGTAGTACAATCTCGAGGACACTCAAGAAAGAGCGGGAATTTCTCAAGGACATGTGAATCAGGGCATAAATTAAAGGATAAGGTTTGTACGAAATGGTACAGGTCCGTACTAGGTTTTTATACACCTGTACCAATATAATTCTTTACCACAATTAAAAATGTACTATATTGGGATTTTCTCCTCCTATATAAAAGGGACCCCAATCGTTTGTAATACACACATCATTCACTGCCATAGAATATTCTACTATGCTTTTCTTGTTTAACGTGCTCAACAAGTGTTCTTCAGCTTTATTGCTTTTATTTTATTGTTCATATTTCATTGCTCTTAGCTCACCTCGAGGCCCCCAAGAAAATCGAGCTCGAGGTCCTTTTTGCTCTAGTAACACTGGTTTGGTTCATCAGTTCTTCTTACTTAAACCTAATATTATTTGTATATTCACTAGTATTAGAATAAATCACGTATCTTTAAAACCACAAATCATATTTAATTGTTTCCCCCATTTTTCGAGGTAAACAGTTTGGCGCCCACCGTGGGGCTAAAGATAATAGTGATTATTTTAGTGCTAATATTCTGATAACACACATTACTCTTCATACTTTTTCGTGTCAAAGATTCTTTGATTTCAGGCTTAAACATGTCTAGCACACAAAATGCACCTATTCACGAGGACGAAGGTCTTGGAGAAAATAGCGGTATAGGGGTCGGTGTACACCCATAAACCCTGAGGGAGTGCCAAATATGGAGCCAGTTGATATCAGTTTGCACAATGCTCTAAACACGAACGCAGGCATAGACCCCGTAAGGAATGCACACAGGGAAGCCCAACCCGACGGCCAAAGAACACGAGGAATGGAAAAGGGAGGAGTTAGCATCCAGGTGATATTCGAGATGTTACAAGCCCAACAAGTCGCCATCGCTCAACTTCAGAGTCAGAACAGAACTCCAAACACAACTGAACCAGTGAACACGCGGCATGTTGAACCAGCGCTAGAGAGGCCTGATGAAAGTGGCTCGGGGACTGACCCCAGGATTATGAAAATGCTCGAAGAGCTTGCCAAAAGGATTGAGAACGGAGAAAAGAATATTGAAGAAAATGACAAAAAAGTGGAGACATACAACTCGAGGGTCGACCAGATACCGGAGCACCTCCAATTTTAAAAGAACTGGACTCGAAGAAGTTTGTGCAAAAACCATTCCCCCAGAGTGCGGCTCCGAAGCCCATCCCTAAGAAGTTTCGGATGTTAGATATCCCGAAATACAACGGGACCACTGATCCCAACGAGCAAATCACCACATATACTTGTGGCATAAAAGAAAATGATCTGAAAGACGATGAGATCGAGTCTGTTTTGCTAAAAAAGTTTGGGGAAACTCTGTCTAAAGGTGCCATGATCTGGTACCATAACCTACCCCCGAACTCTATTGATTCGTTTGCCATTCTGGCAAACTCATTTATGAAGGCACATGCTGGTGCCATGAAAGTTGCAACAAGGAAGTTCGATGTATTCAAAATAAAGCAAAGGAAGAACGAGATGCTGAGGGAGTTTGTATCCCGTTTCCAATCCCCAGTCTCCGACGACTGGGCCGTGTAAGCCTTCACTCAGGGGCTAAATGAACGAAGTTCGATTGCTTCGAAGCAACTGAAGCAGAACTTGGTCGAGTATCACGTTGTGACTTGGGCGGATGTGCATAACAGGTACCAATCAAAAATTAGGGTCGAGGATGACCAGTTGGTAGCCCCCTCGGGCTCAGTTTGTCCAAGTAGGTTACTAGCAAAGAAGTCAGGAAATGTAGACAGGGGGTCAAGATCGAATAAGGAAAGATATCAGCCATATGTTGAGGATCGAATGAACGTTTCAAAATGTAATATACCCCGGAATGATCAAAGGGCAGATCGAGGTCAAAGTTCCCGGGGACTCATGAGCAAAATCGGGTTTGATAGGCACTCAGGACCGACAGATGCGCTCAGATTATCGGAGTACAACTTCAGCGTCGATGCCTCGGGGATCATTTCAGACATTGGCAAAATTAGAGATATTAGATGGCCCAAGCCCATACGGACCGACCTTCTCAGAGGAACCCCAACTTGATGTGCAAATATCACGGTACTCATGGGCACAAGACCGAAGATTGCAGGTAGTTAAGGGATGAAGTGGCTAGGTTATTCAACGAGGGCCACCTTCGAGAATTCCTAAGTGATCGAGCTAAGAATCACTTCAGGGAGAGAGATGCAGGCAGGAAGAATGAACCTGAAGAACCTCAACATGTCATTCACATGATCATCAGTGGAGTCGACGTTCCGCATGGACCTATATTCAAGCGTACCAAAATATCCATCACAAGGGAGAAACGGACTCGGGTTACATGCCCGGGGACACCCTCACATTCAGCGAGCGAGGCCTTATCTCAGCCTCACAATGATGAACTGGTAATTTTTATCCCTTTAAATAAAGTTCAAGTTAAACATGTTCTCTTGGATCCAGGTAGTTTGGGAAATATAATACGGTCAAGGGTCGTGGAGTAGCTCCGGTTGCTCGACCAAATAATACCGGCATCTCGAATTTTGAATGGCTTTAACATGGCAAGCGAAATAATAAAGGGAGAAATCATCCTCCCAGTGAATGTTGCCGGAACCATACAAGACACCAAATTTCATGTCACCAAAGGTGACATGAGGTATGATGCTTTTCTTGGAAGGCCGTGGATCCATAGCATGAGGGCGGTGCCATCGACCCTCCATCAGACGATGAAGTTCCCAACAAAGGATGGCATGAAAATAGTATTTAGGGAGCAGCATGCAGCTAAGGAGATGTTGGCGTACATGACTTGGCACCGGTATCGGCGCCATCCACATCGGAAAAGTCGAAGGACGAACTGGTGTCCAAATAGCAATCACAACCCGTGTCCTCAGTTGAGCCCGGGGGACAGTGTCCGATGAACAGATTTCTAAGGACGCAGAAGAAGATTTCCTCACCCCCCCGAGCCTTCATTGCCCCCGAAGAATCGGATATGACAAAGTCGACTGTTGAGGGACTCGAGCAGGCCATCTTGGTCGAGCATCTCCCAAAACAAAAGGTATACCTGGGGATGGGGTTAACCTCCAAACTCAGGAAAAAACTCATTCAATTTTTTATTGATAACATTGATTGTTTTGCCTGGTCATACAAAGACATGACAGGAATCCCACCGGAGATAACTACCCGTCGATTGAGTGTACCGGTGAAGCAAAAGAGGAGACCTCAGTCTGAGGTAAAGCATGCATTCATCAAAGAAGAGGTAACCAAACTTCTCAAGATAGGATCCATTGATGAAGTAAAATATCCCGAAAGGCTAGCTAACGTAGTAGTGGTCCCTAAAAAGGGAAACAAACTTAGAATGCGTGTAGACTACAAGGATTGAATTACTTCAGCAGTCTTGAGGACTCTTCTTTACTTCTTGTAATTGATTTCCTGCACATGTATATTATTTGCATCATTAAAACAGAATCTAGCATATGAGATTGAAGGGGGTACTACCAGGAATCATATCAGCAAATCAGAGTGCTTTTGTGGCAGGTAGAAGTATAGTGCAAAATGTCCTAATTTGTCAAGACCTGGTCAGATTATACAACAGGAAAGCATCAGTAAGAAGCTTCCTTATAAAGATAGATTTAAGGAAGGCTTATGATACGGTGGAATGTGATTTTGTTCGTGAGATGCTACATGCCCTAAATTTCCCAAACAGATTTATCCAATGGATTATGCAGTGTATTACAACTACTAGGTACTCGATAGAACTTAATGGAGGAGTTTATGGGAACATTGAAGGGAAGAGTATCACGCCCCGAACCTGGGCCTGGACGTAACACGGCACTCGGTGCCTGACTACATGTGACCGAGCGAACTAACTGGCTGGCTGAACCAACATGTGATATCATAACATACTGAATGTAGATGATAAACTAACACATGCTGATATACTGAAAGTCTGGATGATATAAATCAAAGCACGGAAATACTAAAACAAGTCTGAAACATATATGTAGACAACATTGCTTAACATGGAATGCCTGAGACTCTATCTAACTGTTACTCTAGTCTATGAAGCCTCTATTGATGTACTGAAAACACTAACTATCTGTAAATACAGACAGGCCGTAAAGTAATGATAATGCCCCGAAAGAACTGGGGATCACCAAATAGCTGGTACGAGAATCATAACGCTCTGCATCGTTGACCTGTAAATCATTACCTGCATTGTGAGATGAAGGCCCAGGGCAAAAGGGAAGTCAGTACATTTGAATTGTACTGGTATGTAAAGTAACTGAAAGAAAGAACTATAAATGCTGAAACTGAAACTAAGCTGATAACTGAAATGATAACTATTGAAACTGAAATTGAAGTGAGAACTGGTAACTGAAAAGATAACTGATAACTGATAACTGAAAAGATAACTGATAACTGATAACTGAACTGAATAAAGGAAGTAAGGATATGAATACTCCCTCTTCTGAATGATGAACAGCCTGTTTATCTGAATAAGCTACGGCCTCGGGCCCAATATATATATGTGCACAAGCTACGGCCTCAGGCCCAAGTATACGTATACATAACTACGACCTCGGGCCCAAAAATGCATAAAGCATAAACTACGGCCTCAGGCCCAAACATACATAAAGCATAAACTACGGCCTCAGGCCCAAACATGCATAAAGCATAAACTATGGCCTCAGGCCCAAGTATGCATAAAGCATATAAACTACGGCCACAGGCCCAAATATAGGTGTTCAACATTCAGGAATTAAAAATTAGGAACTGAGAATCATACTGAAATACATGATGCTGAAATACTAAACCATACTGAGTTACGTGATATCTGAATACTGGATCACACTGAGTATATAATACTGGAATACTAAATCATACTGAGTAACATAATACTGGAATACTGAATAGGACTAGAATGAGACATGTATTCTTGAACTGATTATGAACACTGAAACTTCAGCTTTTTATGACATGCTGAGTAAGCTATATTGAGACTTAGGGACATCAAACCCAAGTCTATATTGAATACGAACTGAGCTCACAACGTTCAGAATGAAAGTCATGAACGAGTTATGAAGCTGGATAATAGAAGTTCTACAACAATTCAAGGAACCAGGCTTAACTATATTTCTGAGGCAATTGATACGTCGTAAAAGAAATGTAGTGTAGGGAGAATCATTAACATTCCCAAACATAGAGAGTTAGCCTCACATACCTTAACTCCTGCTCTTGAGCGTAATACAACATTCGCCACCCCTTTCAAGTTTAATCTATATCAATACAAGTCAAAGGGATTCCATATTAGCAATAATTCTCATGTTTTGGTCACTTAAGCATTTTCTCAAACACTTGGTGACATAAAGCTTCATAGTCCTTATTAATGGTGTCTCTACACCCAATAACCCATTATGTTGCTCCTAGATAAATTCAAAAGTCTCAAATAATTATAATCAACATCATTCTTTATCACCCATAAGGTAAACAACACCCTTAACCAATAATCAACAATCAACACCCCAAACCTATAACCGTTCATGCTCTTCTATCAAACCCATCAACTCATATCTCATGAAATAGAGTCTATGATCATTAATTCAATGATAGAATCAACTAGAGGGTGAAGATATTACCTTTTTGACGTTCAATCTTCTTGAATTCGAGTTCTAGGGTTTCTTCTCTCAACAATGGTGTCTAAATCGAACATCTAATGATATGGAGGATTTACCCATGTTAATAAGATATTGGGAAATTAAAATTAACTTAAAATCACCTTTAGAACTTACCTTGGGTGGTGGAAGGACCCTTAAGGAGTTAGGTTTTTGAGAGCTTCCCTTTCTAGAGCAAGTTTTTATGTTTTGGGGTTGTGGGGGACGAAATATAGCTTTAAAACGACCCCCCACTAGCGCGCCGCGCTACTGGAGGCTTGCCCGCTCTTATGACCGCGCTAAGTGACAGTCGCACTGCCTCAAAATTAGCGGGGCCGCGCTAAGGGAGCACTACTGGCGCGCATATCGCGTACTACTCTGTAAAATGCGCATAACTTTTCGCACAAACATCCGTTCGGGCTCCATAATATATCGTTGGAAAGCTATTTTAAAGGAATACAACTTTCGGGCTTTGAGTTTACCCGATTTCCTTACACATTTGCACTAAACACTGATGGAATACAGACCTTCTGCAAACTTAGTCGATTTTGTCAAATCTTATGCACCTCACTTTCCATCTTGATTTTGAAACAACTATTTTCACCCATAATCATCTCGATGAGACTTCACATGCTCAAAATATAACCTTACTACTCCCTTAACTCATTCATACCTATGTCGAATTTACGGGGTGTTACATTATCTCCCCCTTGGGATCATTCGTCCTCGAATGATTGTCCTGACTGTAACTTCTGCTAACTCCGGACCTTAAACGGGTCTGGTGGAAGCATGAACTTTCATAAACACTTGTATGCCAAACTAAATGAATACATGATTGCTGAACTGTTGCGATACTGAACTAAATGACTACTGCATTGACTGAATATTGGCCTGCCATGGATACGTGAATACAGAACTAGC